TCAAAGACCCAACAGTAAAATGAGAGAGACAGCATGAGGACAGCACAGGTGTTGTCCCAAGTTTCTGGAGTCTCTGCATGCCTGGCTGTGGACAGAGTGAGTAGAGGTTTTATCTCTGATTGGACACTGAGGATATCAGACAGGGATCAGAAGAATATCACCTTCTGATGAATTCAATTGGAGCATCTTGTAGGGTCATCTCGTAGATTTCTTCTGCCCTTGCAGTGGTGAAGTACATTTGTTCCCTCACTGTATGAGAGAAGAGAAGCTTCCAGTTCTGTCAGATGTGGAGAAGGATTGAGTGTGTATGGTTGTGATGTTGTAGAAAGTGCAAAATGAAAAGTTGTCTTCTTTGCCTGCTAGTTTGTGCTGAAGCAACAATTAAACTCTGAGATTTAATGGCTTAATTTTATTTGGACATAATTGCCGTACTTGTTGTCTCTTCTGGTTATTTTTGTAATGAATGTCTCCTGTGGACTATTTGTACTCTGGGTTGAAAGAGAATGTAGGAAAGCAGTTTATTCAGAGGCTCTTCAGATGCATTTGAAGTAGCATCAGGTAGTTTTCAAGTGGTTATACTTAGTCCACTGAATAAAATACTCTCTGGTTTTTTGTCTGAACATTTTCCCATGTAAAACCTGCAAAGCTTCTCTATGAAAGATTCAAATTACCTTCACAAAGAGTCACAATAATGAACACGGCAAACAAAATTCATAGTAGCTTTTAGCCTTTCATTTAAAAAGCTTTTGTAATGGACTTAAAACTTTAGATTCTCGCTGCATGTGGTCAGGGACAACATGTGTTTATTTTACTGTCATTGGTCTTCTTTAGCAGTGTTACAGATAAATGCTAGGATCTGTCCACCTTTCTTTGCTTTTAGTCCATTAAATTTGATTTCAAGTTACAAAGTATTCTGGCTTCTAACACTGCCCTTTGTTCTTGGGGAGGTGTGGACTAAGTATGTAGTTGTAATGAACTGGGCCAAGCTATTCTCATGGAATCATGGAACAGTATGGTTTGGGTTGAAAGGAACCTTAAAGATCATCTAGTTCCAGCCCCTCTGCTGTGGACACTTTCTCCTAGACTGGATTGCTGAAAGTCCCATCCAGCCTGGCTGTGAACACTTCCCAGGGTCCAAAACCTGAGCAACTTGTTCCAGTGTCTCGTCACCCTCACAGTAAAGGTTTTATTCCTAATATCTAATCTAAACTGGCCCTATTTCAGTTTAAAGCCATTCTCCCTTGTCATATCATTACAGACTCTTGTAAGAAGTCCCTCTCCAGTTCATTTATACCTGCTCTAGGTTCTGGAAGGTGCTATAAGGTCTCTCCAGAACCTTCTCTTCTCCAAGCTGAACAACCCCAGCTCTCTCTGCCTGTCTGCATAGGAGAGGTGCCCTCAGACATCTTTGTGGCTTTCCTCTGGGCTTGCTTCAACAAGTGCATGTCCTTCTTATGTTGAGGACCCCAGACCAGAATGCAGTACTCAATATTCTGAATGTGTGATGCAAGACTGCAAAAAGATAAAATTCTGTGAAGAGTAATTATGAGCACCTTACAAAGGTCTGCAGAGGCAGAGTCATGTCTTTATAGTAGTGTTTTTGTAAAACAGCTTAAAAAAGCCTGGTACTAAACTTAATTATTTTTTCTCAACTCTGATTTTGACAGAGCATTAAAAATCTTTGATAATTTTAATTCTATTTCTTATGTAATTTTCTCCTTTATTTCTGTTGTGGTTTTACCCCGACTGGCAACTAAGCCCCATGCAGCCGCTTGCTCACTGCCCCCACAGTGTGCTGACGGAGAGAATCAGAAGAGTAGAAGTGAAAAAACTCATGGGTTGAGATATTCAGTTTAATCAGGAAAGTAAAAGGCACTCGTGTGGCAAGGAAGGTGATACAAGAAATTCATGCACCACTGCCCATGGGCAGGCAGGTGTTCACCCATCTCCAGGGAAGCGGGGCTCCATCACCTGTAACAGTGACTTGGGAAGACAAATGCCATTACTCTGTATTTTAACAATCTGAGCTATTTTTTTTTTTCTGTCTCTGTATTTAAAATATATGATGTTTTTGGGGAGTTTCCACAATTTAAATAATATATTATTTAGAGACACATTAGTTGAGAGTTTGCATAATCTACAGTGAATGCTGTAGATTAAAGGAAGGATGATGCTTTCCATGAGGAGTAGACATTCTCAGCTGCTGTTTGGAGTCTTCATTAAATTGCTGGGGATGGTATGCCTTCCTGATGTTATGCACTCAATTTTAAAACAGTTTGAGGCATGATCCAACAAAAGGAACATAATGTATTGGTAGCTCATTAAAATTCAAATTGTCCTTAATTCATAGCCTGTGTGTCATACTCCTCATGGTTTTATTCTGCTTCTAATGTTGCATAACTTGGTTGAAGCTAATGCTTTATTTTAAATTCTGTAATACTCCTTTCTGGGGTAATTTGTTTTCAAATGAAAGACAAAAGAATTCTTAATTTAAATGTTTGTTAATAGAATAAAACATGAGGTTTCGTTAGAACACTAATGTCTAATCATGGGCATCAAGTGTTCTATTTTGTCTTATGTTCTGCAGCAATATATTCCTGGGGCAGAAGGAGTTACCAGTGTTTTCCAAATTCAAAACAAGAGGCTTTATTTGTATGTATTCATAGCAATTTGTACAGATATAGCTAAAAGGTATATATAGAAGGGCAGATAAAAGGAATATTAAAAACAAGGTCTTATATTTCAACCCTTTCATTTGTCTTGCCTGTATCAATGAATCCAGAATCATTTAATACCAAACGCTTTGTTTAGAATAACTTTCAAAAATGCCCAGCCAGTTTTGGTTTGAAACCACCCCTGTGTTACTCCTGGCTGCCTTTTACACTTTGGTAAACACATGCCATGGGTTAAACCCAGCCAGCAGCCAAGTGCCAGTGCAGGGTCACTCCTAAACTCTTACTCCAGGAAGGGCTGAGCAAGCTGGAGCAAAAATTCTCTCTCTATTCGCTGGAGGGTGAGAATAGACACACTCCATTTTGGCAAGGTGGAGATTCACCTTCTGCAGGACAGAGCAGGAGGAATGCCTTGCAGTTGGGGAGGAGGGTCCCCAAAAAGCTCCTGTAAGCCTTCCTGTTAGTGCTAAAAAGCTTCCCCTCAATGACAGATTTCAAATGTTTTGATTTATTTGTGCTTCAGACAGTGCAATGCTGTATAAACATTGTAGGCCCTGATCACTTGGCTCATGTTTATACCAGCTCATTGATTTGAGCTCAGTAAAATAAAATCTTCTGTAAAACCATGATAAAAGGTAAGGCTGAAGATGAGAGATTTCATACTACAATAGTAGATCCTGTGGCAATCCCAGCATGATATTTCTGGAGAATGACACATTGTTACTGTTTTTCGTAGAGAACTGCTAACAGGCTTCTCTCAACTTTTTTACAAATATTCTTCCAAAAGTAGAGGAGCAATTGGTAGATTTGTATTACTATTGTAGCTGAAGGTCTACAATCAGAAACTTATTTTCTGGTCTAGGGAGCAGTGCAGCAGAAGGAATAAAACATTTTGGGTTTAAAGTAGCAAAGTAGACTGAACAAATGGCAAACATGGCGATAAAATTATTTGGCTTATGATTGAATTTTTCATCTGAAATTCGTAGTGTTTTTGTGAAAAGCTGTTTTATTTTTCAAGGTATACCAAAGAAGTAGCTTTTTCAGTTGGCATGCTTTGCAAGTTTTTTTTTTTTTTAACATGTGAAATAAATCAGGATAACGTAGGGATATATGGGAGCTTTCCATAAAGATTTTATAATGTTCAGTGTGATGAATAATTAAATTTGGCATAGTTGTATAATAAGTAGGCATAATATTGAAGGCAGATAGTGCCTGACCTGACTGCTTCAATTCTCAGAAATGGTTTCACAGAAGCCGTTCCAGGTATTTCTTCATTTGCACCTGGACTTACTGATCCTTTCTGAGATGTCTGTGCATGCTGTGCTTTTGTCACCACCTCAGATCTGAAATGCTGGTTTGCTGTGAGAGCTGCTCAGAGAAGAGCTCTGGCTAAATGAGTTATCCAGCTAATAAAATATTGATGTTGGGAGCCTAGTTCTGGCTGACATTCCTCGTGTCACTGTTTGGCATGGTACTGGATGCTGACACCGTGATCTGTTGTGTTGGCAGGCTGCTCCTTAAGCACTGCTTTTGGATCTTCAGGGTAGAGGATATGCACTCTGTGCTTCTCAAGCCCTTGGACACTGCTGCTGTTAGGGTGAATAAATACGTGTTAATGTATTGTAGCATTTAGATCAGGTTACATTACAGTGAACTGACTCAACAATTTGGGATCTAATAAAAGCTTTTTTGTTGGAATGGAGCTCTGTTGAATATATTTCTTTTTCCACCTCGGTGTTTTCCTGTCATTTGAGATCTGCATATATCCCTTTAATTTGGATTCTTAAAGAATTTATAACATCAAAGCTTACATAAGTAACTGTAATTTTTAAATGTACAGGAGGAGCAGATCTGTTCAGAGAACACTTGTAGTTGTGTGGTTGTTTTTTAGAGCAGAATTGGATTTTTTTCAAAATTGTGATCAGTACTTTGTGTACAGTGTATTGATTTTTCTAGACGATAATGAAAACATCATTTGTTTCAAAATAGCATTGCAGAATGTAAAAATTTGGGGTGTGGGGTGGCCATGTGGGATCACTTGAAGTGTATGTCATAGTTTACACAAATGCCCTATATATGCTGTTAGGAGAGGTAAACTTATGATTTTCCATGCTAACTTTGGAAAGTGAATATAATTCTCTTTTTATTTGGTGAACTTTATAGCACTTTGAGCATGTATAAAATGTGCACTGTGTGCTCCTTTGTCACACTCTGCATAAAATTGATATATCTGGGATGTTAGTAGCGATCCTCAAGAGGGAACCTCAGAATTGCAGCTCTAACTGGAGCCTTGACCTTTACGAATACCTGCTTTACCTTGGTTTGCAGGTGTAAGACGAAGGTGTACGCGGACAACCTTCCCACGACGAGCGTGGTGATCGTGTTCCACAACGAGGCGTGGAGCACGCTGCTGCGCACGGTGCACAGCGTCATCAACCGCTCCCCGCGGCACATGCTCGAGGAGATCGTGCTCGTCGACGACGCCAGCGAGAGAGGTAAGGACGGCGCCCGCGCCCAACCTGCTGCTCCTTGCGCTTCCAACACCGAAGCTGGCTTCTCTCAGAATCTCTGCTACAAGTCCCTTTTCCCAGCCTGGCAGTCGAAGAAGGAGTCAGGATTCTTTTGTTCTCGTTCTCAAGGTTGTTTATTTACGCAGCCTCTTGCTGGGGTCAAGTTTGACCCCGAGCAGGCTGCACGGGTCCGGATAGCTCAGTCCTCTTATGGGACAGACTGCCCGAATACTCAAGCAGTTCTCAGCCTCTAGCAACCTAGCATGCTTCAGTGATATCAGCTCTTTAGTGATGATTAGCTCATTGTGATTTCAGCTCTTAGCTTGCTGGGTGCCCAGGCAGGCAGACGCAGGGGAGAGAGGAGAAGGCAGTTCTGATGTTCCACACCGATGTCTTTGTTGGGTGGTCTGTGAAGGTTCCAGTGACAGCTCTTCTAACCAGAAGAGGCTAAACCAGCCCATTATATAGGATACAGGGGGATCAGAAATTGTCCAATAGCAGGGCTTAAAGGAGAGTAACCTATAGGGTTACAGAGAGCTAAGCAGGGGTCTGAAGGTGGAAGAGAAGGGCTTCTAGCTATTCACCATGACTGGACATTTCCTATCTTTAGGCCTCTGTTTGCCCCTTGCAGGGCCTGTGCTTGCTACAGTTTATTCTTTCTTACTATTTCTTTCTCTGACCTGCCGCAGGTCTGTCTGGCAGGTCGGGTTGAGGCACACTGGCTGCCCTTGGGGCAGTGTTATCTTTTTATACTAATAACTATGTGTATATTATTTACCATAACTTCCCAATACCTATCACCTATGTTAGACCATGTGTTTCTACTCTTAACCAATCCAAAAGTGCCACCATCATGGCAGAAGATGGAGGCCAAGAAGAAGAAGGAGAAAGACTGGACACACCCAGATTCCTCCATCTTGCCTCCTGAACCCTCATTCTAAAAACCCCAAAATTCTACATTCTCACCCTGTGATAAATTCGTTATCATTCTACTTTAACTTTCATGGCTTGTAATTCCTCATATAAGGGTGGTAATTTTTTTCCATGGGCAAGATCAAAGGCACAGGGATCTTGGGCTCTGTGTCAAGGTCTCCAAGCCCCCTGTCAGGGTCTCGAGTCCTCCAGGGCAGTCAGAGGAATTTCCTGTGTTCCGACATCCTTGATGTGGGCTTAGCCCTCCTCAGCAAAACACAGCACCTGGGGCAGAGGAAGGCAGAGGGAGCAATGCCCGTTTTGAAATACAGATGGATCATTCTGCACTGAAAGCTGGTGTAACTTCATCTGTCTGCTTGCTTTTCTGTTGGCAGCATGGACTTTGTGTTTTGCTACAGTTTTAGTGTTTTGCATTTAGAATTTGATCACATTCATACAGCTTGAGGGTGTTTAATAGTTGAATCACCTGGTGAATAATAGCAAAGGCAGCTCTGTTTGTTGCACACATTTAAATTTACTGTCACTGCCACCGTAGGCTCGGTGTTCAGAGGGATCAATTTTGATTATTCCATTCATGGGAAGTTAAAATTCAGTTTCTGTGCTGCAGGAGGTTCCATTTCTTAATAAATAGTGCTCCAAATGAAAACTCCATGCTACAGAATGACACTTGCCATGTGTAATACACAAAACCTGAAGCTGATTTTTTGGTAAAATATAATAATATTATTTAGATTTTAATCTTCATAGTATTTTTAATTGCCGTATATTAGAAATTAAAATAATAGTCTATATAATACTTTACATTTAATTTTGGTTATTAGTTGATATTTGGCTTATTCTTTACTTAATATTTCTTCATGGTATGGGTTATGAAGTACTTTTTTTCATTGTGTTGGCAAATGAAGGTGAGAGGGTAGTACAGGTTTGCTAAATAAAACATGTCTATAATTTTTATATTGATCCACCTTTTTTTAAATTCTATTTTTATTTTGAAAGTTTTCTACTGGAACAATGCAGTAGGCCACTAAAGAAAAAGTCTTGAGAGTCACCAGTTGTAGGCAGAAGGAATTCCCGTGTGTAAGACATAAAAGGGTTTTACAGCATGCTGGCATCTCAGCCTGTTGCTTCTCATTCTAGTGATGCAAAATTCATGTTTTGTTGCCTATGGTAATTCCATCTTCAGAGTAAGATGTCTGACTGTTGTCCAGGTGACAAGATCTGCCCAAGATCTGTGCATATGAAGAGAGGAGCTGGATTTGCCCCAGGTAGCCCCATGATACACAGGTTACAGTGTAAGGGAAGGTTTTAGGGTACTTACTGTGGTTAAGGGGAGCTTTTGTATCTGAAGAGCATTAGAAAGGGATGTTTGCTCTGCCACTTAGACAGTAACAAACACACTGAGCTGCCCCTTCAGGCTCTGTGTGTGTGCCTGATGCCTGGCTGGTTGGCTGGGTCGGTGTGGGGCACGGCTGCCTGTGGAGCACGGACAGATCCCATCAGCCTGCTGAGCTCCCGCCGCTCTGCTTTCCTGGGGAAGCACAGCACACACACTCGGGTTGTGTTTGCACTTGTCTCTGCTCCTTTCCTCTCTTGGGCACCCTCACTTGCTTTTCTTTTCCTTTTTTACCCAACTCTGAGTGCTTCAGCTAATTCCAGTGCAATTTGGAAGAAAGAACAGAAGCATTAAATACAATTACATTCCGGCAGCAGAGGAGAAATGCCTATGCAAAGTGCCACAGAAACGTGTTCCAGATTAAATGAGAGGCATGATCAAATTTTGCCTTTTCAAAGACACAGCATCAAATTTTTGCTTTTTGCACTTGTGGGTAATTTGTAATTATACTTCTTGATTTGTTGTTAAAAACCTTCATGTAAAAAATTCTATTTTTTATTTATCAAAACAGTTCTTAGCACTAATTCAAATCAGTGCTAATTATTATTTGTGACAGGTCAGCTTTTAGTATGACCTAGAAATAAAGAGCAAGCTAATATTAGAATATGTAGACATCATATTACTTATGTTTTGCCTCTTCAGTTTCTGTTTTAGAAAAAAATCAATTTCAATGAGCAATAAGCAATAAGAAATAAGATGTCCTCACTATGAATCACAGGATTTTAGTCCACTTAAAAAAGCATGTGGTTTTCTCTAGATAAATTTTCTCTTTCTGGGTTTGGTAGTAAAAATACATTAACTGAATTCCAGGCTGAAAGATAGAGCATTTCATACTTCCTTTGGTGCTGTTACTGAACCTGTTCCAGCATTTCTTTTTGAAGCCTGTGATCTTCATTTCAGATCACTTAGGCATCTTCTATTTGTTGTTATTTTCAACAATTACTGAGAAGGGTTATTTTTGTTCTGTTTTCCAAGAGCTTGTTATGGTTCCATCAAGCATGCTTTTACATTAAACAAAACAGAAGGGTACGATGCCTGAAGATGTGAAGGGGTTGTGTTTGCTACTTAAGCATTCTGTTTGTGTTGAATTAAACCAGCGTACTTTTCCAGAAAAATACAATGTTCAGCCTGAGTATTGTATATTGAATTCTAACATCAGAGTCATTTTAATTGGAATAAAGTAAGCATTCAGTCTGCCTGAAGCACACTTTGTACCTGCTAGTGTCATGCTCTTAGAAGAATGAATTTGCATAATAGCATGCATTTATTTACACCCAAAAGAAAAGCATTGGAGAAACAAGATGTATCTGTAAAATTGTTCTCTAGTTACTTATCACAACTGCAATTTTAATTTTGACGTATTGATCTTTGGTAACTAGTTTGACACAGTTAACAGGAGAAATCACGATTAGCTGGTACCTCTGACTAGACCAGCACCCAGTAGCCAAGTGTGGCATCAGGATAGACCACATCCACAGAACTTAGCTACAGAGATGCAGGTCAAAGCAAAGTGACTGCAACTAAGTCCTGACAACAATACTTACAAAAATATTCGTACTTCTTAAGAAAACATGTTTGCATGCTTATAAAAATGATAAACCTGTGGTTTAGTGTAGTTTAATAATACAAAAAGGGTTGAAATATAATTTTTCATTTATATTCATATCAGTGTGACTTGGTAATAGAATTTGCAAAGTATTTTTCAACTAATGCACTTAGTTGACTTGAACTGAATATATTTGCTCTTTTGTCTTCCTTTGTTCTGCTACTTCCACAGAAGGTTCTCAGTCCGAGGTGAAACTATGCACCCTTTTGACAGAGAAAAGACTTGAAAAGAATATCCACCACAAAGAGTTATAGTTATACCTGTGAAACTACATGAATTCTTAATGTTCCAAATTAGAAGTATTGTGGAGATGTTTGGGGTTTTTTTAAATATTATCAAACCTCAATCTGTTGTGAAGTATATGAAGCAATGCTAAAAAATTAGTTAGCTCTAATCCTGGGTCGTTTATAAGCAGCTGATTTTGTAATGCATGAAACTTCTCATCTCAGTGTTCAATATAGAATTTAGTATCCTCAATAGATTTGAATAAAAAGTCATCTTCGTGGCTCTATCCTGATGTTTCTTGTAGGCCAAAGTGTATTACATTCATTAAAAGATTATGCAAATATTTGGGTTTTTTTTTTTCTCTAAGGGAAAAAATCAAGTCTTCCTTAAAAAAACTATTACTAGTTTCTGGATGCATGACTAATCAAAAAAGCTAGTTTCCTGCTACTTAAACAAAGGCAGCAATTTGTAAGGGATGTGTATTGCTCTTAGAGCGTTCTGGAGGGAAAATAGCTGCTTAGATTTGAACATTTTACCCTAACTGCTGGTAGCAGAAGAACTTCAGAAATCTGGATGCCTGAATTATTTACTATGCTTTTATAGGGATGAGAGATCAAGCTTTATCTTTTCTCCATGTTTTGCTGGAGCTCTAGTGATATTTTAAGGACAAAGTTACTGGAGGTCTGTCGCGATGTTTTGTTTCTGGGAATAGTCCCTTCTGCAGTTTTGAACCAGGTGATAGTTCATAAGAATGTTCTTATGGGCATGGTTAAACATGAGAGAAGGACTGTTCTTAACCTTTTTCCCTCTGTAGTGAAAACACTGCACACATCTCTGATTCTTTCACAGAGAAAAAGAAATTAAAAGTACTTGATAAATTGAAATTTTAAATACTTTACTGATAAAATGTAGTTAGGACTCAAGATTTTCAAATGCAATACATTGAGCATGACTTTCTGTATGTAAGTTTGTGTTTTATGCAAGTTCTTGACTGGCTGCATTTGTATTATTGCAATCTTTCTCTCTTCCCTCTTCCAGAATTTTACCATTCTGTTAATGTAACTACATTCAAGAACCAATGTCACAGGCCATAGTAATTCATTCTAAGTTTAAAGTGGATGGAACTACTTTGAGAGCTTATCAGTATTACACCTGAGATGTGCAGAGAAACATATTGATTTGTGTAACTTGCTCATGAGCATAGAGAGAAATGCTGCACACTCTCTCTATGTACATCATGTGTACATTAAAGCTATTAACATAGCCCTGATAATAGTTCTTTTAAAATAGTGGCTTTGGAAAGCTACACTGTAAAGAGATGAGGCTCTATTTGCTACAGACTCAGTTATGATCTCTGTGCTCCACCCCAAAAGCCTTGCAAAATGTTCTGACATGTACACTTGGTTGGTACTAAGAAATATGTAATAATTTGAGTCTCTGCTCATATGCAAAATAAGAATTAAGATGCTTTGAGTTTTTCTGGAGACAAATATTTAGATGTATCAAACTCTTATGTACTTTTAGCGCAGTTTAGCTTTCAAGACATGTCAGAACTTATTTCTGTGGGTTTTAGTGGCAGTCCAACAATGCACAGAAAAACACGAGAAGGCAATTAGAACTCATTCATCTGGAGAAGTGGTAAGGATTGGTAATCACCTTTAAGTCAACCCTCCCTCTTGAGGTTTACAAAAGGGTCACTAAGAGTTCATGCTGAGCTTCCCCCCCACCCCTCCAGTGTCACACTTATTTTTGTATGAGGCACTGAAATCCTGATACAGGCCATGCACTGTTGTGGTACAACTTTCTACTCCCATGTGCTTTGAGTGTACAATCTAATATTCCATAGCTGAGCAGTAAGGCTATTTTGCCTTTTTTACACATTTTGAAACTGTAAGTTATTGCAGAAGTCTGTTTCTGTGACCGTCCATTGCGTTCTCCCTCACTTCTTTGTTCTTTCTTTGGCATCAATCATCACAACCCAGTAGCTCTTTGCAGTGTAAGTAATTTTGACTCTCTGGGTGTATGGTAACTGACTGCTGTTCTTCATAATTTGTGCTACTTTGAGATTTGTTGGTGTTACAGATTCTCATTTATGTATAGCTTATTATCTTTTTTTTTTTTAGCTGTTACGGTGATAATCTAATATAAAAAATATTACCCAGAAAACTGTAGAGAAAGCACAATTGAAAGATCAGTTTGATTGTGTTTTAAACTTCTCACAAAGAAATTATCTGTAAGTTGCATTACTGTCAGAGGCAATTCATTATATTCAGCTGGTCAAAACATTTCTGTATTTCCTTGGTAGAGAAGTCCAAGAGCACTTATGCATGTGTTTGAAAATAAGCATCACATCTTCTCTGCTGTAAATACTTGTGAATTCCATCTTGGTTTTGTCTAAGTGTCTAATCTTCTCTTCCTTTTTGGGTTTTCCATAATGAAGAAATAAAGAGGAGGAAGAACTTTCTGTGCTATCAAGTGAAACACTTGGAAGATGTGGAAAGGAGTATTGTGAAGTGTAGAGGAAACTATCTGAGAAAGTAGAAAAAGGATAGACAAGAACAGGGGAAATGTGTCTTGATTCAAGTCTCTCCATTAAAAAAAAAAGCTGAACTACATAACTAACAGTTTTGATCATTCTTTACAGACTTCTTGAAAAGACCACTGGAGAGTTATGTGAAAAAATTAAAAGTACCTGTCCATGTGATTCGAATGGAACAGCGTTCTGGATTGATCAGAGCAAGATTAAAGGGGGCTGCTGCTTCTAAAGGCCAGGTCATCACCTTCCTAGATGCTCATTGTGAATGTACAGTAGGCTGGCTTGAACCTCTGCTGGCAAGGATCAAAGCTGACAGGTAATTATCCATCTATTCACCCATCTTCAGTTTTTTCACTTATTAAGAAATTTTCCAAGTATTACAAAATAGCCTACAAGCAAATATCTACTTTCTGAAGAGCTGAATAAATTGTCATTGGTGTAAGGATAAAAGGCTAATTCAGTTAAACTTTTAAAAGTAAAACTCTGTTTCAAGCAAAGTCTATATTGGGATGCATGGAATAATGTGTTAAATAGCAGGAGCAATGATTGAAATTGAGGAATTGGGGGAAATTGAGGTGTTCATTCTGCAGCTTGGCCTATTCCTTCATGAATTTGAGTAGATATTCTTGAGAAAGGAATCAAGCCCTGATTTTGTGTAGCACCAACATTGTGAACAAGAACTGTTTCCAGGCTCTCGTTGTGATTTCTTTATTACATAATGGTTTTCATTGTGGAAATCTGGGCTGTGTCTTTGTCTTCTGGGATGTATGTTCTAAAGTTAGAATAATTACTGGAATCATGCTGATCTGCACTTATATACACAATGGAAATTGTATTGGGGATGAAGGTGAGAGGATTGTCTGCTTTATAAAATATCCCTACCTCTGAACAGTAGCTGTAGTTGTGCACTAGGCTATTAGTCTACATATTAAATAGAATACAACATGGTGCTAAAGATCCCTAGTTTTTTATTTTTATAGATAAAAATCACACTTTAAATTTGATGCTACAAAATGTAGCATTACATGATGAGTGAGCTACAAATAGCGAAGAATCTTTGTTCAGCACTGTTCAAAGACAAAGTAAACTCTGTTATCATTAATAAGGTTTGTGAGACTACAATACGTACATTGTTACAATTTGTGTAAATATCTCGACTTAAGTCCTTTGAATTGAGTTGCAAGCAGCCTCTGAATCTTTACAGAGCTTCCCATGAGAAGAAGCGTGCTTTGAGCATGGTTATTTAAGTGTCTTTAGGATAATTAGAATTGGTTTCTGAATATGTGTGTTAATAATGTCAGGACAGTGGACAACGAGGCCACTTTCTGTCAACTGTGATGCAGTAGTTGTACATTGTTAACAATTACTGTCATCTCTTAGTCCTGAGGATGTATAAAAATACCCAGAGTTAATATCCAAGTTTTCATTTCAAAACATGCAAATTACTTTTACCACTCAACTAGAAACAAGAACCTCTTGTTTTCTATCTAATCACTCTGTAGCAATGAGAAAGTTGGGATCATTATTTCTGTCTGCAGAGGGATGAATATTTATTACTGGTGATAATGAAAATATGATTTAAAAAAAGATCTGGCATGGCCAAAATTGTGTCAGATTTTTAATTATAAGACAGAATTTTACTATGCTTCCTGTTAATTTATTTAATAATGTTGTTAAGAGATGGTATGAAAATTTCAACTACATGTGTAAAAGCAATAATTAAAAAAAAAAAACCAAACATCTTTTTTACCCTTTTGATTAATAGATTTTATTAGTTCAAAATTTAACAATTTTGCTTCTTTCCTTTCCCTAGGAGGACAGTAGTGTGTCCCATCATTGATGTAATCAGTGATGACACCTTTGAATATATGGCAGGTTCTGACATGACCTATGGTGGATTCAACTGGAAGCTGAATTTTCGTTGGTACCCTGTTCCTCAGAGAGAGATGGACCGACGGAAAGGAGACCGAACCCTCCCTGTTAGGTAATGAGAAGTTATTAAATTGCTTAAAATCTTTGTCTGATATCCGCTTTTTATGATATACTCAAAAATAAGTACTTGAGGTTGTTAAGTACTTAGTCAAACGTTATAGCATCTTTTTTGTCTGATTGAAGGAACAACATAACAGTTCTTGCATGGAGTGGTTCTCAGTAACTTTTAGTAGAAGTAAAGGAATCTATCACTTTGTCACTTTGAAAATATTTTTCAGTTCTATGCTAATTACTGCAGAATTACTAGTTTTCAGGTAACAATTATAATGATGCACAAGATTTTAATATAACTTTTTTTCTTTTTTCTAATTGAACCTTGTTTTTATCTTTTATTATAACAAAGTAAACTGTATTTTGTAAACATGCATTGATTTTTTTTTTGTATATGCGTGTGTGGATATATATATATATATATTTGTGGATGTGCATTTATATGCAAACTTTAAGTCTTAGAAGGTGGGATGGGACATGAGTTTATACTTAGATGTCATGTCAGTTTTTAAAAAAAGTAATGAGGAAGATAGCCTGTGTGTAATGTGTACCTTTTAACAACTGCAAACTTACATTTTCTGTCCTTACTTTTCTGAAAACTGGACATTATTTACTTACAGTAAAGCTCAGGATCCAACCTTTGCTGGTTTTTGTTTGTCTTTAGTTTAAGAAATTAAGAGGTCTGCTCATGATATTGCTCTCTTCCCTCTGTTTCCTTTTAGCAGAGGTAAAGACACATAAGTTTTTAGTTAGGTTGTGACCTAGCTTGTATTTAATTTGTCTTTCAGAAAAAGCCCTAAACATTTCAGGAAAATAGCTAGTGATATAAAATCATTTATGCTAAAAGTGTAAATAATTGAACGATAAAGTTATGTCACTGGTCTAACATGTAATTTACTTATTGTATGTTTGTTGTCCAAAAAAGTTGAAATTTGAGAGATGTTTCTAAAGCTCTGAGAAACTACTAGCAGAGTTTTAGTTTTTGTACCAATAAGGAATCTATAAGGAAAATCTGGATGCAACCTTGACTGTACAATTTTCTTGTATGAAGCAATAAAAGTGAAAGCAAGCAGGCTGCTTAATGGCCTCTCAAAACTCTTTCAGGAACAGTAGCCTGAAGTACATTTTCCTGTGTGGAACTGGTTTCCTTTTTATGAGTTATCAGCATTAGAGACAGAAGTCCTTCTGAGGAATGGCAGCAGCTTTCTAGGGACTGTTTCTCTATCCAGACATCAGTTTGAAGTGAGAAGATAAGGAGAACTGCCACTACCTAATTCCATCTCTGAAAAAATTTGAGCTAGCAACTACACCAACAGAAACAGAGTTTGAAGGAAAGCTTACTGAGAAGGAATATGCTAGGAACTTGGGAAATAAACAGCTACTTTGTCAGTGTAAGTGTGAAATGTATCTCAGCATGTTTTTATAGTGACCAATGTGGGTTTTTTTTCTCCCCCCAGGACACCTACAATGGCAGGAGGCCTTTTTTCAATAGACAGAGATTACTTTCAGGAAATTGGAACATATGATGCTGGAATGGATATTTGGGGTGGAGAAAACTTAGAAATTTCCTTCAGGGTAGGTAAAACTCTGCTGGGCTTTATTAATCATTTGTTTATTAATCAGGACAGTGCATCTGGAGTTCTGTAAAACACAGATCTGCCACCTGCACCAGTGTCCTCTTCTGTTGCAGCTGGCACTTCCCTTCCCTGTTAAGTTCCTCCAGCAGAGATACACAAGGACTGTATCTGCCAGTAAAAAATGCATGATGAATTGTTGGTATAGCTTTGTGATTAAAAGATTTAGATGGGTATTCTGAAGAATGAGTGTTTGTGTGTTGAAAGGAATTCAGGTAGAAAAACTGTTGTGGGAGCAGCAGTTAAGAGTGATGTCGTCAGTGCATTGTTTCATGTGCCAGTGACATGTGAGCACCTCTGTTACAAACCCTCTTATCTTGCTCCTTACTAACTTCAGGGGTTCATTTGGTTGTGGACCTAACCAGTGGTATTCTCATTTTTGTTCCTACCAAATGGCACCATTTCCTTTAATTTTGTTAGCAGAAGGTACATAGGTGGGAATTCTGAAGTACTTCAGCTTTCTGAATCTGCTATTTTTTAAGATCCAAGATAAAACTGAAAGTATTTTCAGAGACTTGGGAAGTGTGTGGGTTCTTTTACGTGGATATTCTGTTTTATAATGGACTAGTTTAGACACCTGTTAGTTCCTGTGATTCATGTGAGCCTTTTCCTTCCTTTGTGGTCAGCTTGCCCTGTTCTTTAAAGTAATCTCTGGCTGATGTGGTATTGCTTCAGGGGCTGAAGTACTTTCATATGCTGCCTTGCTTGGGCTTGTGAGCATCTTTAGCTGTTGAGCAGGAAAAAACATGCAGTTCTCTTCCAAGCAGCATGCATTTGTTCAAGACCTCAGTTAATGTTGTTTCCCCACCTTGAGCAGAAGCAAGTGATTAATGTTTTGGAACTTTTTTTAACAACTTGTAACTATGCAATAATTGTTCTGTTGCTTCCAGATCTGGCAGTGTGGTGGCACTTTGGAAATTGTAACTTGTTCACATGTTGGGCATGTGTTCAGGAAAGCAACACCATACACTTTCCCAGGAGGTACAGGGCAGATAATCAACAAAAATAACAGGCGGCTTGCAGAAGTCTGGATGGATGAATTCAAAAACTTTTTCTACATTATTTCCCCAGGTGAGCAGGTCTTTGGTTATGAGAAATACTTATTAAAAATTAAAATATTGCTACTACTGGGAAATAAAGTGAGTATTTGTATAAGAATGTTATTGCTTTGAAGTTTGTTAAGACAGAACTCACTTAAGGTGTACAAAAAGTAAGGTCTTAATTGAAAAATAATTTTGTTAGACAGAGACATGCCCTGAAGGGGTTTTTGTTTGTTTGCTTTTTAACATGAACATGATTTATGAATGAGCTTCCTATGCAATAGAATTGAAGCTCAGTGGAACATCAAAGAGCTCAGTTGTAGTGCTGAAAATTAGCCATCCAAAGTCATATTGCGATGTGCTGAATTTTGGGCTCTGGCTCCCATGTTGTAGGCATTCCATGTTGAATGCATCACAAGTGATTTAAGTGAAACACAGAAGGAGGAGTGGCAAAAGTGAATATCTTCTGTCTTGATAGAATTTGTATTTCACTATCTAGAGTATAGGGGCAAGTTGCCAATATAATTGACTGTGATGGTATTTATTATTGTTTTTTTATGTGGCTGTTAGCAAAACAAGAGGATGTAAAATATGTGGGAAAATTTCCTGTAAAATCAGATTTTCTGCAAAAAATTCAGGAGAAGAAAGGAAGCCTGGGAAATATTGAATTATTACTTTCATCTACAGGTTATTTTTGTTGTTGCATAAAAAGACAAGCTTCAGGTAGCAAAAGCCAACCTTTCTAAATACTTGAGCCATTAGACTTTATGTACTAAGTGGTAGTTTTATATACCACATCTGTTTTTCCAAAGACATTTCTTTAAAACTAGTATTTCCTTATGACCTGCTTATTAAACCTGCATTACTGTTGACATTTAAAAGCTGTAATACAATGTAATATGAGTCTGAACAGTGTCAAATTTTAGATTATGGATTTTACAGACACTTCTGAAAGCAACTGACATTGTGGATTCACAGTGGTTTTTTCTTAAAAGAATGCTTTACTCAAATGAGACTGTGTAAGACTTTTAATTAAAAAAAGTCTGGCTACTATTCAAAGCTTTTTTAGGTGCAAATCAGAAGCTAAAAGCTTATTGTTATTGCCCTGTTATGTAATTAATACAGCATTATGAATTCAAACATGAACATGTAGAAACGTTCAGAAAAGTTGGATATAAATATGTGCAGTCTTTTTTGGTAAAGATTGCTCTTATGCATCCATGTCAAGCTAGATTTTAAAAGGTACAAAGTTACAGGAAGACTTAATTATAAAAAATAACCAAGTTCTTCTAAAAATGTAAGTTACTGATAAGATGTGATGAGGCTCTGTTACTTTATATGTCACTTCTATATTCTTTCCATTTTGTGAGGTAAGTGTAACCTAGAAAAGGAGTTACACTCTTTGAATTTTGTAGGATTGGGGGTTTTTGATATGACTTTCATAGCATTTGCAGTACTGTAGAACATGCATGCATTCCCCAAAGACAGTAAAAATTCTGAAACAGTGAAAGTAAGTTCAGCAGTTATCTGTAACTGCACTGTATATTTTCTTTCCTTTCGAAAGATGCATGTCTGCATAATTTGTATGCTAATGGCCTGAGTGATTGTTGGGTAGGGATGTGCTCTGGCCAAGCTGCTCTGAGAGCATCTGCCCTCTGTCACATGCTCCCATTTCTGTCCCTGTGACTGTATTGGCCAGGCACTGAAGTTTGATGCCAAAAATTTCGAGTGTCTGGAGAACAGGATAATATTGTATCTGAATAAGTTGGGTTATTCTGAAATTGATTTGTTGCCTGGGGCTGTGAGGAGAATGCCCAGTACTGTGGGTCATTCTTTAGCTCTAATGAAAACCTGTTGTTCTGAGAATGAACACACAAATGTACTCGGAGCCACTCATGCCTGTCACCCTCCCAAATCCACATAATTTGTGAGAGCCATTAGGTATCAACTAGCAAGGATTACCATTTTGAGAAGTTCACAAAGAGCTTATTCTTGTAATTCTGGTATCTCCAATTTTAGCTGAGTGTTGCAGACTGTGACTTTGCCCATTGACAGCAAATAGCATCAGAACAGGTTTCAGTAAGTCCCTTAGTTGTTTAGGAACTCTGCTAGTTGTTTAGTGAATCTCTGCTAGCTTGGCTCACTTAGCTTTTCCAGATATGCTTCTAATGTAAAAATTTAAATGTATCATTCTTACAGAGTGCTAGTGTTGTAATCTTCAGGCAGAACACAGTGTGCAGCCTGTGAAACTGTTTGCTGGTACAAATGTGTACTTTCAATATTACTGTGACAGTGTCACAAGCCTTTGCAAGGAGAGAGGTGAGGATTCTTAGGCTGATGCTGGTTTGCAAGCCTTTGGTGCAGATGAATGAGGAAAAGAAGCAATCCTCTGTGCACCTAGGATTTTTCTCACTAGTTGATATGGATACGAAAAATTGCATTTTGGAGGAGAGAATATACTGACAAGCATCACTGAGCCTAGCTAACAAGACACACTTGTTTCCTCCTTTACGTTTTCTTTCCTCTTCCCCTAAGATAGTGAATCACAGAGGGATTCATCCAGGAAAGCAAATGTAAGATTCTCAGGTAGCTTTCACACTTCATGTGATCTGTGTTGTCTGGGAAAAAAAAGTCTTGCTGCTTGAATGATAGGAACTCAAGATATTTTTTACTATTGATGCAATGTAGTTAAATGGAAAGCTGCCCACTTGAAAAGTAAGCCTGAAATCCTTTCCCTCTTTTATAAGTATAACCCAATAGAAACTGCTACTTGTCTGTACTAAGCTTGTGTGAATTTTAGAAGCCACCCGTCTGCTTAGGAGTGGTTAGGTACAGATGGAGGCTGGGCAGAAACTTGTTGCAGCTGCTGCTTGGCCAGAATGGAGCCTGTCTCTTTGCAGGCAGCAGCTCCTCTCCCCAGCACTGGCTGCAGGCCCTGCTCATGAGCTGCTGGCTTTCCTTGCAGTCATGTCTTACACCAGGGCCCTGTTTCCCAGACCATTTTCACTTCAGCTTTCAGAAAACAAATCCAGCATGTGAATAATCTGTTTCCTGGCTCCAGTCATTCTTTCTGTGGACTCTGCCACTTTATTTCTAGTGCTGGTCATTCATCACTTTCTCCAGGCTAAAAGCTTAGGACTGTATTGTCCAGGGTGAGGAGGCTTCACGAGATGTTGATGTCTGTCTCACAGCTTGCTGTGAAGGGACTGCCTTGCTTTTCCTGGTGGGTGTAGGGAAGGTAATAGGGCTTCATCTCCCCTCACCTGCTGGTCCTTCATCTGCATCAGCTGCTTCTAGAACTTTGTGGATTTCTCAGGGGTGTTCCTCCTGTGGACTGGCTCCCTGGGGTTGAGTTAGAATCTGTCAGCACAGGAGGTACAGCAGGAGTCTGAAGGTGAGCAAGGGAAAGCTGCCCCTTTGGCAGCAGCAGCAGCTGCAAAGCATTAGACTGGACAGCTTTGCCCTAAAGGGTGTATTCTGAGATATATTTTGGGATGTAGTCAGGCGGTGTATTGTGCTGGGCAGGCAGAAAGCCTGGATAGACAGCACTGTGGAATTACCTAAGCAAGAGTCACCCAGACAGAGACGGGGTGCATCATCCTGAAAGCTGGGTCTGTAGGCCTTGCATCTCATCACTGCATGCCCTGGTCTCTAGCCAGGCACAGCAGGGCAGGGTTCAGTATGTAGAGACTGGAAATGGAAAATTTTAATTATGGTTGATAGGGAGGACAGAGGAGGGACTGAGTCCATATCTTGCAGTGTAGCTAAGCCTGTGTTCAAAGTATATAATAAATGTTTCCATGTGATTTTGTGTTCAGATACCAGCCCCTATTAGCATTAATTGAGAATGCAAAGGATGTAGCTATTCAAATTGGTTTTAAATAATTATTGCTTATAGAGTTTCATAATACTAAATAAAAACAAGTTATATTATTTTTATCAGAAGGCTAGATTTAGATGAAATAGTTTTCATACTCTGCTTTTGCAAATGACTGAGCAATTTATAATCATGATGATAACAACATGCTATTTTTTTCAAAGGATTTTAGCATAAATATATTGACACACATTAAACTTGGGCAAGGAAATCTTCAGCTCTTGAAAATTTGAGGATGGCACAACTGTTGCAACATGGCTGGTGCTGGCATGGCTGGATGATTTGAAGATGTGTTTTGCATTACCAATATTTTATGTTTTATATTTAAAAAAAAAATTTATATATTTTGATTATATCTTTAAACAGGTGTGTGGAAAAAAAAGCATGTGATTATCTCACAGCTAACAGCAAGCTGTGTGACAAATAGAATCATCAAGGAGGCCCAAACTTTTAAATGTAATTAGGGGTAGGGGCAGGGAGGTTGAGGAAAAATATAGTTATGGTCAAATAAACACAACAGTAGCAAAGTTTTTTAACTACTATTTCTGATGTGTGTGATATGGATACTCCATCCCTGAAAATGTTCAAGGTCAGGTTAGATGCATCTTTGAGCAGCCTGGTGTAGACAAAGGTGTCCCTGCCCATGGCAGAGGGGTTGGAATGAGATCATCCTGAAGTCCCTTACAACCCAAACTATTCTGTAATTATATGAGTCTTTCCTATATATTTTTTTTAAATGGACAAAAAGTTTGAAAAAAACAAGTGGATTTTTTTTCTGTATTCCTCATGATCCCTTTGGAATCTGGCATAATTGTCTCCTCAGAGGAAATCTGATATAATTTACATTTTGCTGTTTGGTTTTTGTTTTTAGCTGAGCCTTTGAACAAATGCCCAAAGCCCCTAGAAGCTTATATGTCCCTCTTGTAGGTATACATATAAATTTTACTGGTATGTGGAGAAAATAATGATTTAAACCTGTACCTAATTTTTGGTATGCTTTATACTTTGCTGCAGTTTTCCTTGTTTTCTTCCATTATTTTTTCCCCCCAAAAGAAATTCCCTATAAGTAACTGGCACTGCACTGGAGAGAAATACTCAAGCTGGTTTACAATAATATTGATAAGGTACCAAAAATCTTGGAAACAGAAAAATTCAGCCTTACTAGAGGACACCCCAAGGGCAACTCTAACTGTTCTGCTCTTCAGTCCTGCTGCTAACCTGCTGCTAACTGTATTCTTTGTGTATGGTTTGGTGCAGACCTGACTTCAGAGAGGATTTTTTGAAAACCTTTCTGAATAAAAATTGTTTAATGGAATACAATGTAAGAGAAAAATCAGCTGGCACTTTTTTTGTGTGTGGTGACATTTAAAATGACTTTAAGAAACAGCTTGCTTGTATGCTATTAAGTCTCACTTTACATTTAATTATTTATAGATGTAACTTTAATTCTTATTGCCATTCAGTGATGTGACAAAGCCGTAACAGTGCTGGTTTTGGGAGGTCAGTGGAGCAACCTGAGTATGTTTTGAGTCTTGTTGGATGTTGTTTGTAAAGTTGTTGTGAGAGGGGCATGATAACTCCTTCATCCATCCTCTGCTTTTTCATCACTGGAAAATGAAGAATACAGTACTTAGCTGTGGTCAGAACCTTTCTGTTCTTGCATTAGCTTTTGAGAGAGTATTGCTTTCTGGTAGAGCAAATATTTGCTTTGATGAAGATGGAGCAGCATTCTGTGGCTTGGTTTTTTTTTGGTTTTTTTTTTTTTTTTTTTTTAATTTGTCTTTTATTTCTCAGTTCTGGGATTTCTTCTGTGACTTGAAAGCCCAGACAGAAGTTTTCTGGGATTCTATACAAACAAGATTTTCTTTGCTTTCATTCCTTTACCAGTATAGCTTTCCAATATATTTATGAAAATAAAGTCTTTCATTAAAAAATAAAATCCTAAAACCCTGGCTAACATTTTTTTCTTTCTGAAATATTATGTTTTTCATTGGCATTTACAGACAGTTAGCTAAAGTTTGATCCAATTATCTGTCTCAATTGAGTAGAAAGACACCATCTGCTGGCAAGTCCATTTAACACACAGTATGCCAGCTTAGAAATGTCTCAAACTCTTTCCAAGGTCAAGAATTTTCAAGGTAACTTGCAGTCCTCCAAGTGGAGAGATTTCTGAAAAATGTGTGCAGCTGGAGGTCTGTAGTGTGGTGGCCAGCTGAGCCATATTTGTAGTCTGTTAGAGGAATTTAAATTGCTGGGGCCAGTTTTTGTTCTTTTTTTTATTTGGGTTTTTTGGTAGTGTAATGCATCTGACCTGTGTGATATGGGAGTATGGTGTGGGAAACAGAAAAAAGGACATGATGCTTGAAAAGTAGAAATTATCCTACTATTATTTATTATTGTTATTGCTTTTATTATTATTAATAATATAATAATAACAAAAACAATAATAATAATAGAATATTAATTACAATAGTGCTGAATTCAGGTGAAGCAAAAATATCTACTGTTCATGCACACTATCCTCAACCCATCTGCAGATGGGACTTGCACAAATTAATTTTCAGAGGGAATTAAAGCAACCATAAAGGAGTGGGAAGGTACAGGAAGAAGGAGCACTTTGATAAATGAGGAGCAAAGGAATAAAAAGGCAAGCAAACTACCACAAAAAAATGATAACAGTCATAATGGTGAGCATACTTCCTGCAAATGCTGCGGTTATATTGAACAAATGCTGAATTATTTAAGGTTTAGTGCTCTGTATGAAGGCTGCTTTCTGCCTGCTTCTTTGTGCAGTTAGATAGATGAAGAAGAGTCCAGCAGGTGGTACCTGGCTTACAGAAATAAATTAAATTGAAATTCTGCTTGCTCCACAGAAGGAGACTGCTGTGTTATGCTGCACAGATACGCTCTCCAGTTACCACTGGGGATAGAATGGCATTAGTTACTAAAAAGGTTTCAGCCTTGCTCCTCTATTAACTTAGTAAGCAACTACACTCAAATTGTTCCACAAACCACAGGTAAGAAATTGTCATGCACAGCCCAGATGGAGTCAATTCTATCTGTTGTGGAAAAAGAAGTCACAGGTCTTGTCAGACATGTTCATAATGCTATATTAAGCAAAACTCCCTTTGAATAGAGATGACTTTTTAAAGAGAAAGTCTTTCATGGAAGTAGTAAATTATACTGATGGATTTTCTTATGGTTAAATGGTATTTATTGGCAGACATTGAATACAACTTCTTTTTTTTTCAGGAGTTACTAAAGTTGATTATGGGGACATATCGTCACGACTTGGGCTAAGGCGCAAGCTCCAGTGCAAGCCTTTCTCCTGGTACCTGGAGAATGTTTATCCTGATTCCCAAATCCCACGCCATTACTTTTCTCTGGGAGAGGTAAGATTTCATCTTTCATATGCATCTTCCCTGTGTAAAGTACATTGTGCAGTAAGTTGTGGTTTGAACTGAGTAGTGCATGCAAGTTGTCTCCAGCAAAGTTCAACTATCTTGCACCTGTGTTTCTGTCCCATGTAGAATGACAAATCTGGCTTCTCAGTGGGGCAGACTACTGAACTTTGGTATGCAGTACTGTAATTTGAATGTTTTCCTTTTTTTCTACTACAATACAAAATGTCATATAAATGGCTTTAGAAATAATCCTTCAGAAATGTAGTTGTGCATAACATTCTGTATAATGTTCTCTACATTGAGTATGAGTGAAGTGTTGCTTGAAAGCTGTACGAGGTCAAGCAAGGTCTTTGCCTAAAAGCTGTCCTGAACTTTACCCCCAGAACCTTCACCAATGACCAACAAATTCTAGTGACCCCTAAGCCTTGCTGAGCATTTATCTCTTTTCTTTAACCTTTTTAACAGATGATGCTGTCCTAAATAAGTAGGCACCCTCTCCTCTACAAGTCACGTTGAACTAAATAGCAAGTTTTCTGTAGAGTGATTTTGTACTGTTGATTTTAAAAGAAACACTTGTAGTAGAATGTGCTTCTTCATGACTATCAAGAGACTTGGTATTCATGCCTGCTTACTATATAGTGATATAGGGACTGGCACTTTTGAAGGTTTTGGGCTGCAGACTCAATTGTGTCCATTCTGTTGTAGCTGAATCTTTGAGCAAAAAGCACCCCCAAAGTGGAAGGATCCCCCTAAGAAAGCAAAGAAACAATCATGGTTCTGTAACCTGGTAGCTTGAACATTTGCTTGAGAGTTTGGACAATGTGGACAATGATGCCTCATTGCTAATATGGGTCATTTATTTCACATAACCTCTGGTGCATGGAGAGAACTGGTGCCCCCTGTGGTTTGATAAGGACCTAATTTTCTTCTAAAAATATCAGCCTTTAGTGATGTGCTCTTTTTTCCCTCCTAGATAAGAAATGTGGAGACAAATCAATGTCTGGATAACATGGCAAGAAAAGAAAATGAGAAAGTTGGAATCTTTAACTGCCATGGAATGGGTGGCAATCAGGTGACAATTTTTAAATTTTCCTAATGTATTGAATTATTTGAGGCCCTACCGCTTATTGTGACAATTCTTGGATGTTTTCAGTAGTTATCTTCAAAGTATACTTAGGAAACCCTCATGAAAGAAAATACCTGTAAGAGGAAATGCATGAGAAGATTTGGTGTTGGTTTCTGCTTGTATGTTTTTCAGGGCTGATTGCAATACATTTTAGATCAACTTTAAAATAAAAAAAAAAAATCATGGGAGGAAAATACTTCTATGAGCTAGACTTCACCCCCTGTAGGTTCTTTGGAAATGCATTCTGGTTAGAACTCCTGATTGGCATTGTTACTTAAAAAAACAAAAACAGGCCTGTGCCTGAAATATATTTCAATATATCTTTTTCTGGGTGTCAGTTGTGGGAATTATGTTTCATCTGGTTTTTCTGTTCTACTTTCCTAATGATTCTTGATGAATTGTTTTCACATAAACAGAGATGACGTCTGTTTGGGGAGTCTCCTGTTCCTTCACAGCAAGCAATCTTCAATTCAAAAGAAGTCTGTTTTGACTGAACAGCTTGTGATTGTGTTAATACTTGTTCCTCCCCAAAAAAATTTAAAAAATCTTTCCATGCCTTGCTATTATGAGGGGAACAGAAAGCAAAAGAAAAAAAAAATGGGAATAAATGAAGTAATGCACAAATGCTCCCCTTTCCCCTCACTCCAGGAATCTTTTGGTTGAAGCAGTTCTTTTTCAGTTCCTCTCATTCTTTTTCTCTCTAGGTTTTCTCATATACTGCCAACAAAGAAATTCGAACAGATGATTTGTGTTTAGATGTATCCAAACTTAACGGCCCAGTCACGATGCTCAAGTGCCACCATCTAAAAGGAAACCAGCTTTGGGAATATGATCCAGTGGTAAGTCTTCTAAGGACTTTTGACTGTAAAATGAGGCAACTTTGGCTTTTACATGAGCCTGCAGAGCAACATATTCCAGTGTGGACCACTATTGGACAGACAAAATTGGAAACAAAGTCAGGATCATGGTCCCTCTGTTACTAATTCACTATGTAGTCACACAGTGGGCATCTGTGTTAATTACCTGGTGAGTTTGAGGGAGCTTTTGGAAGAACATTTTGCATGTGCTTTGGGACCCTGTGGAGAAATGCTATCTGACAGTGTAGTGTTGTGTTACAATCAGATCAGAAATGGAGAAGTATTTCAGGTATCCATTGGAGAAATAAGAGTAATGATAATAATAAAGTGGTGACAAATTTAGCACTCAGTGTTTTGTCTTTCACAAAGTAAAAAGGAAATACATTTCCAAGTGAAAAATGAGCATTGCAAACTGATAAAGGTGATTTTACATTTATCATGTTACATCTAAGATATATCTATACCTTAGATATACCTTAAAACACCTTTACTTAAATCATGTTCTTTCTTCTACAAGGTGCTCAAATTTACTTTGAAGTTCATATGTTGAAGTGCCAGATCTAGAAATCATTGTCCAGTGATCATTCATCTTTAATTTGATTTGCCAGCTCTAGAAATGATTTTGTGATTGAGTAATGCTTCAAGAACTCTGACTTGATGGATAATTAGAAAAAAAGTAGCTGTCTTGCTTTTTAATTTAATATCAGTCATTCCAAACGACAGTTTTGAGACAATTTGTATGAAGAATCTTGCCAATATTTGCAGTGACTGTTTTTAAAAAGAACTTTCAGATATTTAGCTACTAAAAAGTCATAATTACTACTAATTAAAAAGCAAGGTGGAGGTTATTTCTGACTAAATACACTTGCTGTAGACTTCAGTAGCTGAGGTGTTACCAAAGCCTGCAGCCTTTTAGACCAAAAGCAAATATGTGTGAATAATGATTTTGTGATTAGGATGGCAGTTAATGTGGAAGACAATGGATCTCTGCTAGGATTTCTGCACATTGCTGGCAGTTGTTGATGGGACACTGAAGAAAGCTGAAGGTTTGCAGGATTAAGTTAGTCTTGGGAGCCATTCATTTTTGGTTTTAATGTAGTTAGTTTACCTGACTTAAGCAGATAATATAAATAATACTACCACCTACAATGATTTACCAAAGAGCAAGTGCTTTTCATTTGGTTTCTACCTTATCAGTGATAATAAAAATGCATCTTTAGACATGTAAATGCAATAATCTGTCTTGCAATGATTGTCACAGACTTCCCCTTTGTTGATCCTCAGCCATAAATTTGGTTATATGTGTTTTATCTCTCTATTTTGTCAGTAGAAAATCTAGGCATAATCTTCAGAACATAACTGAAAGCTGCCTAATAAAGCACAAAAAAAAGTTATAGGGCACTTAAAAAGAACTCCCGCTCACATAGCTGAGTGATTTTTTTTTTCCTTTGGTTCTTTTTTCTTTCTTCCTCTGTTCAACTCCGTCCTTCATTCTTCAGCACCTCTATGAGTGCAGGAAATTGATATGCTCAGGTTTTTGAATTTGATTTTTTAATTACCCTTTGCTACTTGTGCACATAAGGCCACGACTTTTCAGTCATTCCCATGTCCTGGTTGAGCTGCTGAATGAGAGAGGAAATACAGGTAGAAATGCCTGTGGTGCTGTAGGCAAGTTGGTGCACTGGGCAGTAACTGTAGAAGGAGTATCTGTGGCAGGGAATGCAGCTTCTGAGGATCTCTTCTCCATGAGGATGGTGCTGAGGTGTAGATGGAGTGGTTTACCAAAGATTGCATAAGTGGGATTAGTAGGTATTGCAAAAGATATACACTTATATGAAGTTGCAGGTACTTTTCATTAAAGAACATACTTTTTAAAAAGAGCCCAAAAAGTACTGAAGGAACGTAGTGTAAGGTCAGTATTGCGTCCCCAGCTGAGGAAAAAAAATAGTTTTGAAAACATATTCAATGTGTTCATTCTGATCTGATAAAAACTACTATTATAAGTAATAACTGAAGTTGTGTATCTTACCTACTTGTAATTTCTAACTCTTCAAATATCTGTAGCCCTGTTTATAGAATGGTGGGTGTTGACAAAGAACATAATTTACAAGTTAAGGCTGTTTTGTTTTTCACAAAGCACTGTTTTTAGTGTCTACCATGTCATATAGCATGTTTAAGTGTTTTTAGGATAGGGATCTGCAGTCAATAACTACAGAGTCTTGTCTAGTTCCTACTTGTCTATGGAAAAGTTTTGATGCCAACTAGAAATTTTTTGGTTACCTTATGCCTGGTGATTCTTATAAAGCTAATTTCTTTTTATTTTCTCTTCAAGAAACTAACCCTGTTGCATGTGAACAGTAACCAGTGCCTGGACAAAGCCACGGAAGAGGACAGCCAGGTACCCAGCATCAGAGACTGCACCGGCAGCCGCTCGCAGCAGTGGCTGCTCCGCAACGTCACCCTTCCAGAAATATTCTGAGAGGTTCTAGAGAAGAGCAAGGATTGACTGGGCTACCTCGGCTGATTCTTTGGCTACGCTGTCAAGTAGCAACAGGAGAAACTTCTGCTCGGCAGAATCCGCAGCTCCTCAGCTGTTAGAACTCCTGCAGCTTCTCAGTATCTGTGAACCAGCCTTCCTGTATAAGGATGTGAAACTACCACACATAGCAGTGAAACTGTGCCCACTGATGTTTACAAGATCGAAAGAGTTTCTTCCAGCAAATAATTTAGAGAACATTTGGACAGTGGAAACATAATCAATGAAATAGTCTCTCTGAAGAGCTACATATCGTTTTAGTTTGCTTGCACATCAGTAACCTCTGCTGAAAGTGCTGTTGTAATGAAGAAAGTTTCAAGAATTCTTTTTTTCCTGGTTAGCAGTGGTAACCAGACTACTAAGTATAGATCCACAAATAAATGAAAGAGAGAGCTGCAAACCAGATTCAGTATCATGACATAAGAATTCTGTGGTTTAAAAGCAAAAAGTAAACAGGGTTTAATGAAGCTAAATCAGAACTATGAAAAGTACAATTTGTTATAGTGAAGTATCAAATTTATATGTAGATTTTATACCTCAGTGGGGGAAAATAACCAAGTCAAAAGGCAATTGTTTCTCTTTTTCAATTGTGTGATAGTCCATAAATACTTTTTTTTGTCCTGGTGAGTCTAAAATTATTTTGGGCGCAAACAAAATGAGCATAAGAATAAATTGAGCTCTTGAATGTCAGATCCACTTTCCTTTTAATTTTAATTTCTTGGCTGTTGGAATTGTATCTTTTTATTACTGTCTGAAAACTGGAGGTTAACATGCTGTCTAACTCTTTTTTTTTTCCAGACCTGCCATTTCAATTTATACTTGGGTCAGTCAGCTTATGGACTTTCATGGCCAAACAAAAGATTTAAGTACACTTTGAGATTAAGTTAACTTCATCTAAGTATGCTTTAGCGCCCAAGACTTCTACTACTGTACTACAGTTTTGTTTTCATAGCAATAAATCTTTTGTTCCTCGTTTGATTTCAGTCATCAGAAAGCCAGAAGAAAAGATACATGGTTTGGGTAGAAGATTGGCAAAACTGAAGGTTTTCTGGAGTCCTTTTTCACTTCATATTCAGATGTGCTTCATTGTCAAGTGCATATTTAGATTAGACTCTGAATTGTAATGTTGATCTGCTGCTTTTTTCTAATAAAACCTAAAGAAAAATAGTGAAATTGGCATGGTTTTTAAAGTTAACATAGCCAAAAGCAATATGACTATGTCATTACATTGGTCATTTTTTATCTGAATTGCTTTGTTTTGTTAAGAAAAATCTGTGTGGGCTGATCTTGAAAATGAGCCACTGACTGCTCAGAGTATACATTGAATTTTCTTTTGGAAAGAAAAATGAGATTTGCTTAATGGAGAGGATATTTTTATGATAAATGTCATTCTTTGGCCAACTGTCCTGTAAATCAAATTAAACCTAGACTCATGCAAAAGTTGTGTGAAATTATATTTGGCTGTTAAGGCCATTTAGATTTACTATCCCAAGTTTCTCTTGTCAGTGTTATCTCCATCATTTCTGTTGCAGTACACAAGAGTTTCATACAGAATACAGGAGAAAGGTTAAAAATTTGTACTATTACATTGCTACTTTAAAATACATAGGATGAGACAATGTGGGTTTAATATTAGATAAAACATCCAAATATCGAACTATCTTTTATTGACCCCTTTGTCTGGATAGCCCTGCAAATCTTATGAGATTGAAGGGGATTTATGAAAGTAATTTATGAGAAATATATTGAAGTATGCCAAGAAGACTTAAAAAAAGGGAAAAAGTCCATCTTAATGGTTATGTGAGAAGACTTATTCCTTCCTTATGGTCAATGAAGAGGACAAGGTGGGTGACAGTGCCAACTTTTTTTTTTTTTTTTTTTTAATCTTAGCAAACTAGCAATTTTTAGGGTGTGTGTGTAGTGGTGCCTAAGAATGTGGTATCTTTTACTCCAGAAACAATTTGCCAAACGGAAAACATTATTTTAAAAACATTTCCAACAAAGAGACTCTATATCAGAGTTGGGTAAGCTTTCATGGAGTGAGATGCAGGAGCATCAGAAATGCAGTGGGAAATTCCTGTAAGTTTTAAAAATTTCTTAATTTGTTTCAGATTGCATATGCACACAGCACATCACTGAATACACAAAACAAATTTTCACTTTGTATTTTCCACTTTTATGATCCCTGCTGTGATCTTCTGTTAACAAACCTGAAGTACCACAGCTTGGGCGGTAACTAAACTTGTAGGTAGGCCTCAGTGTTACTGTGAGTCTGCCTTTCTTAGTTCAACAAGTCATTTTACATGTTGGTCACATAGGGCTGCAGTACAAATAATTGCACAACCCAAAATGCATGTATCAAGTTGTCAGCAAGCTGAAGGAGCAGTCACATTTCCAGCCTATAGGTTGCCAGTTCCTCCCTGGTGAGCACGGGGAGGGGAAGCAGCAGTCCCAAGAGCGGCTGCAGCCCTGAGGGGTTTGGCTCCAAACCCCTCAGCTCAGCCAGTCCCATGGTGGGTACCTGGGGCTGCTTAGGGACGCCGGGCTGTGCTCAGCCTATCCATGTCTCCATGGCATGTACCCAGGAGCTGTGCTGTGTTTGTGGGCAGCACAGGACTTCTGCAAAAAATCCCTGCACCAATGGGCATTTCAAATGTTCTGTCATATTAAGCTCTTTTCATAGCCATAGAACACACATAAGAGTTATCTTAGAGGCTCTCTTGCCGCTAAAGCTCATGTCACCAGAGCTCCCAGAGCTGCTGAAAGTGATCTGCCTTAGAACTCTGCTCAGCTGTAGTCGCCCAGCAGTGGTCCTCCACTTACAGGCCCAGTGCTTCTGTATACCAGACATACTTCAGTTACAGACATACTTAATTCCTTCCCATCTAGTCTGTCTTCTTGTACTTGAGTCTTCAGATAGAATTTTAAGAACCTCTGTATGTATTTTTATTTAACCTGCTCTGAAAAAACCCCAAAGCATTGCCTTTTCTTTATTGTGTAACACACCTGTGTTATGAGATTTATGAATAGTTTCCAGTAGAAATCTCACTTTAGTTCCTTTAGCATTTATTGCTGTTCAGATCAGATGTAGGAGGGGAAAAAGATCCCACTGCTGTCTTATTTAACCTTGACAGCAAATAGTTGCATGGTAGTGAAAAAAAAAAAAATCAGTAGCTATGTTTTGAAGAGAATTGGTAAGCTCCCTTATTGTCCTTTGTCTGTCCTGTGCTCAGTGCATTTAGCATAAATTTCCTATGCATGCTCTAAAGGCAATGTTCTGTTCTCCATCTCTTTTCATTTGCTTGTCTGAAGACATTTATTGAGAAATACCAGTGCCTTTTAACTGAGTTGAAGTAAATTACACATTATGATACAAACTTTAGATACCTACACTGTGCCAGGTCTGATTAGGTCATCTTGAGTCTCTTCAGATACTGAAAGTCACAAAAGTTATCTGTGTGTACAAATGACTGTGACTGTTGTCTCAAACTGTCAGTTTGTTATATCAGTATTAAGTTATATTTTAATAGTGTTATTTTTATGATAGTTCCATTCAAAGGGGCTCGGCAGTTGCTTTTCATTTTATCACAGTAATGGTTCTCATCTGAGATATGTACTGTAAGCAAAAGAAAGAATCTGTGTTACAAGTTAGAAACAAAATTAGGATGATACTTTCTAATTCTTTCTTGTATTTGTTCAAGCAATGTAGCACATTCAGAGAGATGAGCAGAACACTGGCAGATTTATTCTGCTATATTTCCCCTTCAAGGTAAGTGAGGAGATGCAAATGTGCTTCAGAAGATTAACTAAGAAATAGTAACTCAAAGCTTTCCTTCACTACGTTAACTGTTCCTTCATGCTTTCAAATGAAGAAATGTAGGAAAGCAAGTGCTACAGAATAAATTTTGGTAGCTTTAGAAGCCCTGTATCTGATTTGAACTAAATTGTAAACAGTAGAGATTTAGGGTAAGAGAGGAATGTGCAAAGTTTAAAACTTGCACAGTGTCAGAGTGCTGTTTGCTCACAGTTCTATTATAGCATTTCTTACAGTAATTTTAAAGTAAATAGTTCTCAGGTTTTCATCTTACTCTAACCACTGATGATTGAGAATTGTTCAGCTAACCATAGTTGTGATATGTGAAGGTGGTGTTTAGTATTTTGAACAACAAAATAGTACTTATATAAGTAAGTTATATAGTAAGTTTCAAATGCAGAAAACAAAATTGACACATAACTAATAGGTTATCTAAAGACTAGAAATTGTGACATTGAGATGAAAACTAAGTCACTACATTGTTCACTTATTTTCTTTATGAATCTTGGAGGATGTTTTTGTAGCATTTTGCTTGTAAGTCATGGAGGCCAAGTTGAATGGCCTTACCTTGCTAGGCCATTCAGCTTGGTGATGCCTCTCCTTATCAGAATTGAATTCTGAAATGAAAGCAAACTGCTCCTTCTGACAACAAACCAAGTAATTGTCATAGCACCGATTCAGGGCATAGACAGTAACCTGCCTCTGAAACAATCATGACTGGTTTCCTTGCCTCTGGAGTAAATAGTGAGACACAGAACTTCCTTCAGTTTTAAATGCATCTTATTTCTTTTTTTTAGAGGATGGATATCATTAGGAGATCTGATAACTCTGATGTTTTTCATTGTTGTATTCTTTAGAAAAGCCTTTTGGCCTCACCTCTTGTTGTGTCTCATTTTCATCACCTTTCTCTGAGTCTTTTTTTTATTTTATTTTTTTATTTTCAAAGGCTGGATTGGGGTTTTTAGGATAGTGATGAAGACATAATATATATTGCCTTAGAGATGTGTGTTATTTCTGTGTTATTTGTTAGTGCATTAAGTAAATGTTTTCAGGAAGTGATCCTCAGAGGCATTTTAGTCTTCTGAATATTTATCTTGTTATACAGGACTATAGAAGTAATTATTTTTCCACTTTGCATTAAGTCAAATTTATAGATTTTTGCTTTCTCTCCATGTATGCTGTTTAGTCACCTAGGGTTTGTTATTTTGCTGTCTTAAATAACTTGGGACTTCTTCCTCAGTACCTAATGATACTGATTCAGACACATTTCGAATGTTCCCACTTTTGTTTTTCTCTTGGGTTGGAACAGACCTTGGCAGGTCACCTGGTCTAAACCTTTGCAAAAGCAGGGGTGACTTCAAAGTTAGATCAAATTGCTCAGGACCTCACTCAGTCAGCTCCTCCGTGTCTTGAAGGATAAAACCTTCTGGCCAACCTGTCTGGGTCTGATACCTCTTGTGGTGAAGAATCCCCACCAGTACCTAGTCAAAACTTCCTTTCCTGCAACTTTTATGTGCCTTTCACTGTGCATTTCAAAGTTAATCATAAATCTTTACTTTGCAGATACTGTCTTCTCTGTCATTCTCCTGCCTCTGGGACTATAACCAATTGGCTCTGTTTAGTTAAAATACTGAGAGTGAACTTGCCATAGAACAGAGGTTAAACCAGTGTTTCAAGAGACTTCACCACTACTTCCTCTAAATTCTAGAAATATGTATTTCATTCAAGCTTAATTTTGGCAAAGAGAGGCACCTATCATGTGAAGTGATCCAAGAAAAACTGTTGGGTCCATGTCCAGTCCACAGGAAGTGGGAAAGAAGCCCAGCCTTTATTGCTGTGGCAACTTCAGCATTGGAAATATTCAGACCGAAGAACTTGAGAGTAAGTTTTGTATTGCCTTGGCTGCCCAATGAGATCTGGATTGTATCAGAACAAAAACCTGATTTCAAGTTCAGTGAAAACAGGAAGAATTTTCTAGCTGCTGTTTTCTCTCCTGGTTTGAATTGATTAATTGGAGTATCTGAGTCTCTAGTGGATCTTTTTGGTCTGAAAATGTTTTCAGGTAGCTAACCAGATTAGCAAAATAGCATTTTCAGTCTAGGCCAGTTGGATAGACATGGCTCAAATGACCACTTCTGGTGGTAAGTATTCCAGGGTCTTGGGATATCAGAGCTGTCACTACAGATGATGGCTGTGAAACGGTAAGTGATGGCTTGTTGAACAGCAATGACCCTTTGCTTGTGCTTTCTCCTGTACTCTTTTGAGCCAGGGAAGTGCTGGGAGGGGGAGTGTCATTTCCATTACCCAGAGTAAAGAACCTCTCCCTGTGTGAAATGATGAAAGAAATGTATGC